ATCTTAGGTGTTCAGCTGACACTCTTCATCCACAGCTGCCTGCAGACGAACGGCACCGACACCAGTTCTCACATAACGCGCACCTGAAGGCAAATATTGGGTTTGTATCTTTAGCTTTTCAGTTTTGTTTTCCAAAAATATCAGTGGCAATTTAAAAAAAAAGATGACTTGTTCTTGACACTTTAAGTAGTTGTTTGTTTTTATACAAACTTTACATGTAAATAAATACAAATTTCTAAGACATACGCTCTACCTCCTGAAAATGGGAACGGCAAACTTTACTGGAGAACTTGTGTATTTGTTCAGCCTAAACACAAAAATTAAAACCATGCAAACGTCTAAAACATGAGATCAGAGACAAAAGTTTACATGTGTAACATTGCGGTATGTCAAGGGTTCCCAACCACTGGGCTGCGGATCATTTGGTGCTGCACAGAAAGAATAAAGTTTAGAGTTTTATTTCGAATTTTCTTTTATTTGTGTTATTCTGTAAGGTACTTTATTTTGAAAAACATTACTTCTGTATGATTTTCTGCTCGGCTCTTGATTGGACAGGTTGGTAGGTTAGTTAGCATCCAATCCATCCATCTATCCATCCATTCATCTATCATCCATCCATTTCGACTTATGATTCTCATAAATTTCCAATTGTATTTTTTTTTTATTCTCACTGTAGCCCTAATACTGCGTCTAATACTACTATGGGATCATTCATTGAGAAAGTAAAAAAAAAAAATCTGTCTGATGTTTGAGTCCAAGTATTTGAAGTCTTTGCAGTGAAGCTCTGGAGGCAAGTACGTTGAAGTATCTCTACCTGGTGCTACCATTAGTTTGTACTGTGTCAGCTACTATTACTACAGTTCACCATGGTGATGTTTGTGTTCTTAAATATAGAAAAATGTCAGAGCAGGTTAGAGTTGGTGTGGAGTAACATAGCCTTCAGTTTAGTGTTACTTCTGACTCCAGACTGATGTCTGCCAGTGGATCATTTACCTCCACTTCACATTCTGACAGCCTAGCACAGAGGTATCAAAAATCAGCGATACACTCCTAATGAAAGTTCATGGAAAAACGCAGGGAGAAACGGAAAAAGTCAAAACACGATACATGAGAAATGAAGTGTTTTCACGATTTCTGTCCAGGAGAAAATGTGAATATTGTGGATACCAGCACAAATAATGGGGACAGTGTGTTCTGGAGTGGACTGTCAGAGCAGGACAGATCAGGTGAGGCAAAGAGTTTAACTCACAAATTACCTGAAAAGGCAGAACTGACAATTTAGAAACTTCTGGCAAAGGGTGAGCGCGGTTGGAAGAGTTGGGAGATGATGTATTACACAGTATGTCTGAGCGGGGATGTGATCCAACAACGTATCTTTGACAAACTCACAATCTTACAGCGATGCAGCTGCACTAGTTCACCGACAATCACACTCACTGCATGTTGATTGATGGATGGATGGATGGATGAATGGATGGATGGATGGATGGACGGACGGATGTATTGTAACTAAAAAAAATATATTTCGTGGACGGACGGATGGACGGCCGGCCGGACGGATGGATGGACGGACATACAGATGGATCGATCTGATATGACTTTATTAACCCATTTAAGGTCAATTTACGTCAATCAATTGAATATCTTTGGTCATTTTTTTGCCTTAGTAGAAAAGACAGTCTCATTGTAACTAAAAAAAATATATTTCACATACATTTACACTTGCACTTAACACTAATACAAATTAAGTAATCCACCTCGAGATGGCCGTTTTGATCGCAAATTTAAAAATTTGGGTGCAAAGACAAAGAAATGACTATGCTATGTTGATGACATGACGATGTGTATATGTCAGTTAATTAAATTAACACACACTGGATTCCCTTTTGATTGTGAACAAAGCACCTACAGAGTGCGTAGAAAATACGGAACTGAAAGTTATGAACAAACGTTTATCCGCTGTGTTTCAACTACTATGGGATTGTATAACAGGATTGAGCGGGAAACCGTAGTAGTGACCACAAAAAAGCCCTTTTTATAAGATAAATAGCTAACAGTCAGAGAATGAAAGACGACTAAGGGTGAAAGAGGTTCAAACCCAACAAAGAAAGATGAAAACCATTAGAGCTCGACCATAATTTGTCATCCATTTTTCTTGCTCTGTAAATCTTTACAATACTTCCAGAGGACCAGCATGTTCTGTGAGGCCGCAATAAAATTTAGCAGTTATTCCTAAATTCCTGTTACAATAAATATTGTGTGTTTTTTTAAGATAACACATCCACGAAGAAGGTTACAGTGTTCTTAGTCTACAGAGACTAAAATCGAACTCTCTCCGCTCACGAGTCTAGATAAATTATCTAAAGGTGTTTCTAAGTTCATTATTAAACGCAGTGTTTGATTTACATGCGTAGGATTTTGAATAGGGCTACGGTATGGTCACATTTGAGCAAACTCTACAGAAATGAAATACTACGATTTCGTGACTTTCCAGCCAACTTTATAGTTTATTGTAGTTTATTGACTGCCCTCAGCCCGTGTCAACGATCCAAACTTGGACGAGTTCATTCAAAAGCATCTTAAAGATGTTGTATCTGCAAATCAGAGAACAACATTCCTGAGGTCACCATGATCCTGGAATTCCACCGCCAAAATGTTATCACATGTCTCTGTGTCCGAGTGAATGTTTATACCAAAGTTCAAAGGATTCTCCCAAGGGTTTTCTGGAATATGTTCACGGATCACGGAACTGTGAACTCCGTGGCCACGGCGACAACGTTGTCCAGCTAATCTTTCTTCTTCCAGCTGCATACAGAGGCTGACACAGCAAATCATCTGCTGAAACTCTCAGCTTTAACAACCGCCATTGTCTCCTCCAGGAATCTGCCGGTGTCTATATTCATTTAATAAATCTAACACAGAACTGCCACTGATCCAAACCATCTCAAGTCTGTCTTACTTCACTTTGACACTTCCAGTGGGAAGTTCAGCTCTAACTCTGGTTCCCTCAGTTCAACTTCCTGTCTTTCAGACCTCGAGTCTTCACCGGGTCTCAAACCTACAGTAAAGGCAGCTGCAAGTACGACAGGGGAAAATAAGGGAATCCAGATCCCACGGTGCAACGTAACTCGATTTTCACTGTGTGTCCGAACTCACATACTGTACATCAGAACCTATGTCACAGCTACGTGTCCGAACTCACATACTGTACATCAGCACCTATGTCACAGCTAGGCTAAACAGAGACTTAGACTTTGGAGCAATAATGAAAGGAAAAAGGTTGCCAAAAAAAAACCAAACAGAAATACGTAACTTGTGGCGTACGACCAGTGAAATAAACAAAGCCAACTTCTGTATATAGCACCACAAATATATATGTACCGTATATAAACAGTGATTCCTCTCCTATCGCGGTAGTTGCGTTCCAAGACCCACCGTGAAAGGGGAAAAATCGCAAAGTAGAGGTGAGATTATTCTATTATTTACGTATATATTTACCCTTTACGAACCTCCCCCACACTGTTATCAACCCTCCCTAGGCTGTATTAGCCTTTCCCAGTGGAGTTGTAGAATGTCAACGCAGAGCGAAGTGAACGAGAGAGTGGCCAACAGACAAGGGGAGATGCTGAGAGATGCTACGATGCATGAGCCAATCAGCGTGAGGGACAGAAGAGCATGCTCAGTTAGCCAATAGTACACCGAGTACACATTGTATTAGCCAATAGTAGTTCCCTGGTCTGCCACTAGAACCAGAACCTCTGTTACAGCACATCATCAAATGTCATTTTTCCATCAAACATTTCATTGATGATTTTCTCTAGATATCAGCTACACAAGAACTCAAAAGTAGAAGGTGGAAAAAAAAGTTCAGCTTCAGGTCGCAGCTCTCACTGGCACATGCAGACTCCAAACATGTTCCTTGCAATTTATGCCTACACTCACCCTAAGTTCACCTTCACCCAGGGGCATAATTTACTTTTTTTTATCTTTGATGGAGACATCTGGGAAATGCTCAGTGCTCCTCAATTATGGTCTAATTCATGTTCACAACACACTGCAGGTACCGTGCATGACTCTGGCACCGGAGACAAATTAGCGGTATATAAATATAATTTCTAGGTGACAGAGCTGCACTCAGTTTGACATCCTGTAAAGACAGCTTTATTTTCCTGCGTGACTGTGACCAGAGGTTAAATTTAGGTTTTTGACTATTTTAGTAAAACTAGGGCAAGGTTTTTGAACGCAGTGTTTTTCAAACTTGAGGTCACGACTCCATGCGGGGTCGCCTGAAATGTCTTCAACAACTGTATTAGACAAAAAGCAGCATATAAAAATATCTGAACTGGCTCATCATGATTGACGGCTGCAATCACATGACAGCTACTTGCGTTCCCGTGCTTTAACATAGCAGTCAGAGGAGAACAACTAAAAACAGTTCCAAGAAACGAAGAAACCAACACTAACAAGTCACATGACAGCTACTTGCGTTCCCGTGAGAATAGAGAGAATAGAGTGTTTCCTCCAGTATAGATCAGGCATGGGCAAACTAAGGCTTGGGGGCCAGATGCGGTCCATTTAGCATTTTAACCTGGCCCACCAAAGTTTTCAAAAATATATAATTTATTTATAATATCATTATAGTTCTGCCTTTTCCCTGCAATACCCACGTTCCCCCAATAGATGGCGTATAAAATAATAACATAATTTTAGCATTTGAGCCTTTATGGATGACTTTTCCATGTCATCTATCTTAGTTCACACAAACGCTCCATCTATCTCCTCCTGACCCGGCCCTCCCCGTTCAATTTTAGAACAATTGTGGCCCGCAAGTCAAAAGTTTGCCCAAGCCTGGTATAGATCGACAAGCGTCTTTGGGGATTGCAGGAAATTTGTGATGTCAACATTTATGATGAGTATAAATGAGCAAACGAATCTCACTGATAGAGATACAAAATAAAATCTCAGGAAGGTTCGAGGCAGGAGGAAAGGATGGAAAATACCTGAGAAGGTTTTCAGCTTGGTAGAGGAGGACCTGAGGATACACGGTGTAAAAGTCGAGGAAGCCAAGAGTAGAGGAAGATGATCTGCAATAAGAGAAACATTCAGAGTAAGTTACACTCTATACACTCGACTAAGATGCTCCCCTCAAGGTAAAGTCACTGACCTCATGATTGGACTTTAGAAGATCCTCGGGAATTTATTTGGGGATATACCTTTGTTTGACAAAGGTATATCCAGGAACTCATCAGGATCATCTCACAGTGTGACAGTAGCTTGGATGTGATGATGACATTCAGAGGGTATAGATGAGGTTTTCCAGGGGAACCTGAGGGGATAAAAAATCCTTTTCTGTAGGGGAGGAAATAAGGTCAAGAACGAAGGGGACAAAATTTGACGACGGGGGTTCAAGAAAACCTTATGGAGAAAAAATACCACACACATGAATTAAAAAAAAACAAAACGATAAAACAACGGGAGTCAAACAAAGTCCAAAGAGTCGGAAATGGAAGAGGAGGAGGAGGAACATTAGGAAGAAATACAGTAGATGTTAGGACAATAAGATAAAAAGCAGAGAAAGAATGGTTTATTAGGAATTTACAGGCTGTTGGAGAAGAGGTGAAGGAGAACCGTGTCCGCAGATGTGGGGTTTTGGACTCGATCTGAACCAGGGTGGGTTTGCCGTGACACTAAAAGGACAGCGGTGTGTGTAAATGTGAAATTTATGAATCACATTTTATAAATCATGGCAGCATTCAGGAAAATCACAGCGGTTAGTCTCTTTTCTGGCAAAACAACACAGGGAAGCAGGGATTTTTCAATATGTGTGTGTTTTTAATGTCCCATCATTCAACAGTCCTTTCTCCCCCTTTTACTCTTTGGGTTTTTTTCGTCCGGCAGTATTTTACAACACACAGGAAATAAAAAAAATATCTGGATTACTGTAAACACACTATTTAGCACAGTGAATCAAACAGCAGTAGCTCAAAAGGTGGATTAGTGCCCCTGGTGGAGGATGTGTGGATGTGGTCGGTTCACATTTTTAATGTTCTCCCTAAAACTGTATGCAGTGGTTCATAGATTCAAAACAAGACAAAATGAAACGTTATGACATTGACTCCGCAATGAAAAATAAGTGGTGCTAACCATTTGCTAAAATGCCTTTTCAAATAAGTTTGAAATTCTAACATCGTGACAGCAGCCACTTCTATGTTCTCACCTCAGCCGGCGGTGATCTAAAGAAAACACGCATCATTAATGACATGCCTCGTACAGTGCACCCACTAATAAGCTGTAGGAGTGTTGAGTAATCATATACGCCAACACACAACATGCCTCTGAGCTGTACGATGTGATCATGACCTGAGTTTGTTACAGCATCGATTACTTTTTAATTAAAGTAACTTCAAGGAGGGTAATTGCAACAGTTAGAGGACTCTTACCTAGAACCTGGATCATCATCATCATCAATGTGAAATTGATATAGTATTGATGGAGTATTGATTACTCCCATAAAGTATTTATACTTAATATATGAAAAAAGTGCATCTATCTATCCATCCATCCATCCATCCATCCATCCATGCACACAGATATCTCACACAGCCGGTATAGTAGTGTAATCATAACCAAAAAAAAAGTTGGTGGTGAAGAGTAAGAGAGCTACAGTGATGTCAAGGCTCTTACAGTCAAGAGGGTAATGACGGGTGAGGATAAAGTGAGGAAGGGGGGAGGGAGGTGAGGAGGGATAAAAACACACACATCCATGCATGCACGCACCAGGGTATTTAAGTGTCACAGTGCTGCAGTGATTGCTCTGTCAGAGCCTGTGGTCGTAACTGTAGCCTCTCCTACGGCCATCGAAATGACTGGGGCCAGGAAACATGCGGCTCCTCGGTCGGGTCCAAGTGTGCAGGAACACAAATCGACACGGCCGTGAGCACTCGCATCCACATCTGATGATACACAAGTGTGCAACACAAACCATACAGACGCTCGTATTATCCAGACAAACCACAGCCTTAGCCTTTGACCATTTCTATATTGAACGCGGTCATGTGACTTCATGTAAGAATAAATGAAGGTTTAAGAAAGAGTAGGTAAAAAACAAAGAGCCATAGAGTCAGGGTGGTGAGTACACTTGCCTTACAGCATGCCCCTGGTGGTAAGAAATGGTCTTTCTGATAGAGTTTGCAGGTTCTTCCTCACTGTGGGTAAGGGGTTTTCTCCAGGGACCCCAGTCCAGGTCCTCCAACGACCCTGGAATCATAAACAGTAACATAGCAGTGATGCTGCCCTCTGTCAGAATTTTCCCTTTTTCTCTTTATTTCATGCAAGATATCAGGATCAGGTCATTTATTAAAAGTAATGTATCTGCAGGGGTCAGAAATGTCACTGAAAAAAATTAGCAGAGCTAATGTTTTTATAAAACAAAGTACAAGAAAGGAGGGCAATAAAGGAGGGCAAGGGTCACGAAAGAAAATGTACTACTGCGAATTAGGTTTTGTTTTTGTTTTTGTTTTATTATTTTGTCTTGTCTTAAATTTAAAGCAAAAACATGACCAGGTTCGCTGTTCGATTTTCTTAAATGAAATTAAACACAACCCGACCTTGTGCCTGGATCCAGGCTTGACCAGAGTCTCAGAATTGAAGTGAAGTTGTCCAGGCTCTGCCCCCTCTTGAGGACTGGACCTCTACTGGACCTAAAAAAGACAGCGCTAACCCAGAAAATGTTCCAAAAGCGGTAGGAGAAATCTGGGCGCACACACAAGTGTATACACACACACACACACGCACCACTGTGCCGGTAAGAGCTACCATTCAGACTTGCCCTCGCTGACTTCCAACTGAGGAACAGAGATACTAATCAAACATGACAGGTGGACACACACAGACAAACACACGCACGCCGTGTACATTTCAGACAAGCCATTTCACAACAAAAATAAAACACGGCATCAATTATCACATCAAAATTCAGCCTTCAGCGGCTCGGCGGGATTTATTACAGCACGGGCAGAGAGAAGGAACAGCGAATAATTACCAGCGCATTGATCGACCTCCAGCACAAACACACACTGATGCTGATGAGCCGGGATCTGTACACAACACCTGCAGCTGTTGAGATTTCTTTTTTTTAAATAAATCAGTTTTTGACAAACAGATTTCGTGTTTGAACTCCGAATTACCGTCGATCCTCGGGCCTCTGGGTACTGTTTCTAACCGGTGCTTACACGACAGAACTGCCTTTGCAAATAATACATTTTCAATCTGAAGATATTTTCTGAGACTAATTCATATAATTTATCCATGTCTACATACTGTACATGATCGGGAACAAGTTATTTTTGTCCGGGCACGTGAAACAATGAACTGTAGGACCGAGCGTGTAGGTAGTTTTCTCTTTAAAGTGAGCGTGACCTTCAGTTGCTTCAGGAGATTATGACTGTAAAATGAAATCAAACAACGAAAACAACCAGCTGACTATTGTTTGGAATAAAAAGTCAAACACTCCAGGCCGGCCCGGCCCAGTGTTTCTACGAGCCTGGTCCACCGCAGCACCTCAAACCACTCACTGGCCTCGGCACACAGGGCCGCCAGTTGGTGGGCCGTCCATGACGGGGTCCTGTAGAGGGAGTCAGAACTGTGGCACGCAGCACCGGGGCAAATGGTTTTTGTAAAATTCCAACACGTATAAGTTTTGGATATTTAGCCAAAAAGAAGGAGTAAAAAAAAAAAAAAAACAGGCTGCATGAATGAGCTTGTTACAGGTTTGGGCCGTGTAGGTGGCCGACACCGACAAAAAAAAAGAAGAAGCAAAAACTCTTGTTACAGGTTTGGGCCGTGTAGGTGGTCGACACCGACAAAAAAAAAAAAGAAGAAGCAAAAACTATGCACTTAAACAAACTCACTGATTTTTAGGGAGTATTAAAAAGGAAAAGCGAGTGTACCATGTGGACTCAAAAAGGAGAGGTCATGTTTTAGCGAACCATGTCCCTTAAAGGTCCATTCCATATTCCAATTGTTACAAGCTGAAGTATATTTTACTAAAGAAAAGTTGCAAGGAGAAAGGTTTTATCGATAACGTCATTTGTTGGACCTGACAATCTGTCATGTTTGACCATTAATATTCAAACTGATGACTCGTGTCCAACCTGGTTTCCCCGGTTGAGAGTCAATGAGTCAATGGTGAAGCTTCTTCTATCCTTCAAGACCACCAAGCAGACCTCCTCCCATTCGCTGAGAGTCGGGGTAGTCACAAACACAGCAGCAGAAACACTGGCGGTTGTGAGGCTCCTCGATCCCCATTTCCTGTAGAGGGAGTCAGTGTGTACGGTATATTTCCCTGCAGACCAACACTCTGCTTCCCATGTGTAACCACGTAAGTTCTTATGTAGTTAAATAATAAATAAAAGCAAAAAAAGGGTCATAAGTTATGAGTATTTAAGAGACAAAATAGCTACATTTGTCAACTAGCTAGCATAAAACGGCTAAAGAAAAATGCTAATCCCGAAATACCTTCATTTTCTTTTGTGCAACAGCTCACAGTTATCAACAAAAGCTACATATTCGAAAAAACAAACACAAAAAAACAGCTACAGACAAGGGTAGAACGTAATCAAAATCCAGTTAGCAGTGAGCTAAAACCCCTAAAAATCTGGAAAAGATCTGGAGTTAGCAGTGAATAATCTGACAGAAAATGATGAATTACTCTTCGTACCACCATATACTGTACACAGACTGCAGGCTAATTCTAATCAGAGCAGTAAAACAATGAGATATAGTTTCTCCAGGTCACACACCAACACACACTCACTCACACACACACGTCTAAGTATTAGTTCAGCTGGCTGTCAGGTCTTCAAGCTCGCCATGAGGTCCATCAGCACTGAAGGCTGTTCTTCCTGTCACAGCATGGGGTCAAACCCTCAAAAAGTCTATTTGTGTGTGTTTGCGTGTGTGTGTTTTCAGCTGGCACCTCTCTTAACCTTGGCAGCAACGCCTCTCCTGGCATCTGCAGGAGCAAATTTGTCTTTGGGGTTTGGAATCAAGTTTCATTATCCTGTGGGTGAGTGTTTCTACAGTGTCTGTGTGTGTGTGTGAGAGGGTGTGTGTGTGTATGTGAAGTGTGAGGTATTTCAGAAGTCTGCTCATTATCACTGTAGCCACTGGGTGTCCACGAAAAGCAACACAGAGAAAGGTAGGTCAGCACGGAGGAGAAGGTGAATAGGAGAAGTGTACCAGAGAAACCAGTGCAGGAATGAGAACCATGGACTCAGGACTGTACCAGGAACAATGTACTCTAAATGTCAGATACCTGGTATCTGGTTTTCATCAAACCAGCTGTGAGATACTGGAACCATTTAGAATGATTACTGACATGTTGAAGGGATTGATATAGGTATGGGGGGAG